CCCTCGTGTAGCTTTGTGCGAAATTCAAAAACAAACAAACAGTACGCCATTACCGCTTAACACATGAAAAATGTGTTGTAACTTTATAATACGGCATTACGTACATTATTTGTGGGTCCAAGACTTTTGATTACAGGGTCCTTAATAACATATAGTCAACCACAAAAAAAAATCTAAACAAAAATATCATCTGTCTTGAAATTTATTTGAATAATTACTGCTATATAATTTCATCCAATTCTTTTGGTCAGTTCCTTACAATGAATGACCTCACTGGTATGGAAAAACCAATCGTTCTACTGAGGGAGTAATAAAGCGCACCGATATCATTTGAAATTAGGCTTAAGACAAATGTTGAACTGATTTAACTCTTTTTCCTATAACTTTCCACTGTAAGCTTATTGCTTAGAAATTTGTTTCAGAATACTTTCCTCGTTTCTGTTCTTATTTTGAATTTATCTCGTACAGGCGAGATAACGGTTAAGAGTAAGTTTACTTTCAAAAAGTTTTTGAAGCATTTAATAATGATGTTAGGTAATATCTAATATATATATAACGAAAGTACTTCAAACTTTACCAAATGGACCTGTTAATACCTAAATATTTTTGTTGTCGTTGTTGTTTTTAAGTTTGCAATGTGCTAAAGAAACTGTAAATAATAAGCTTGTTTTTGGACGCCATCTATTGTCTGTAATTTGTACTACAGTCGGTCTCTCTTTGATATAAATTAGATGCGATTATTGTTTATAGCTCTTTGTTACCAGATTGTGTATGTTATAGATTAGATAATTAATTTTCAAGAAATTTAATGACTTTTCTCACTTTTCTGATTACGTATGGTATTAAATCGATCATGACTGATGTGTAGCGAGCAACTTGCTTACCAAGATATATATATATATATATGGTTATACTTGATAGTAAATTGAAATCACGCCATCTGGTATTGATATGGAAAAACTTTTCGTTTCTCAGCAGGAACATCACATATATATTCAGAATTATCAGCTGTTACTTTTAGCCATTGCAAACATGGTGTCAATAAGATCGCGTGTGTGTCTCGTGACACTTTTTATTGTCATTGAAAAAAGGTGTTAAAAGGTATACCCTCCCCACCAAGAAAAAAAAAGAAAGTTGGGACATACCTTATGAACAGTGAACTGTGATGTATTTAATGCATGAACAACTTTTTGTAGAGCTACGAGGTAAAGAGTTGTGTGTTCAAGACGACAACGTGTTGCCGAGTTCAAGACACAGTTCTATTTTACTGGTGGCTACACGACGGCAACAAACTCTTTATTTGCCAATCGTATTTAATAGAAGTGTCACGTGGTAAAGAAATAGCGACGTGGACTCGCACGTTTCAGAAGTAAGATTACTTTGTGGTCTTTAATGTCCAAGTAATAAGGCAATACAAAATATTATGGTACAACTTTTTAGTCAAAAGTTCATGTTCTGGTGTCTCTACAATTTCACACTTCATTTGTTTGTTTTTGAATTTCGCGCAAAACTACACGAGGGCTATCTGC